CCACCGCAGACACCTGTGGTTCAGAGTTTTGCAAATTTCTCAGCATCATTAAAGTTGGACATCACTCAATTAGCCGAAAAGCACATAGGGAAAGTTCGGTCTTTCTTATAACATATAAAAATCACGACTACTCAGAGAACTCCACGCAAACCACAAGTGAATGTGCGCAGCCTACAAGATCGATCTGGATGAATTACACATAGATACCTACTACTGGAATTATCTAGACGTGTGATTTTGTTCGTATCCGTCAAGTAAACACTATCTTCTTGCACTTGTGAACGACGGGGAGAAGTCAAGGCTTTACCAGTTCTCATTCGAATTATTTGCTAGTTACCAAAATTGCAATTGATCAAGCGTAACTCACCGAGTGCTGAGATCCTTCTGGACTTGGAAATGGGAAGACAGCTACACGTACTTTCAATATCGTTGGATGTGGTGTTTCAGGTGGCACAAATTCCATTGAAGTACTCATACTTAATCTGCTCGTTGTTTTCTGAAATATGACAGAATACCATGATCAAAGAATAGTTCAGATTCAATGAACATCAGTGAACTTTTGCTTCCACGAAACGGTGGAAGGAGAGTGTTATAAAACAGCTACCTAGCTAACCGCGTAGTCCATGACGGAGCAAATGAGGGCAACTCACGAAGTATAAAGCAAACGGGTGAATAATAAACATATTTCAACCTATTTCGGTATGCTTCGTACTTATCCGAAAAAAAAACAAACCCAGAGGCAAAGCGCATTTTGCATGTCATCTGTAACCTCTTCGCTTCCAAGGACTTGAGACGGTTCTAAATGGTCCCCGAAGTAACTAGTTTATACGCCAAATACTTACTTTGATACTTTGATGGCCCTTCTTAGCGTCTCGAAGTCATCCTAGCCAATGTCTGTCCCACGTCTTTACCACCGTAGGTAGCCTCCGGCCCTTGTGAATCAGAAGGGAATTTGCCATCGTGTGGCTAGTTTCATACCAGGAGGGTGGTGGATCTTAGTATTGGTTTGCTCCTGGCTGGACTTCCAGATGGAAACGCTGGACTCCTTCTCAGCTTGGGAGATTTTACTGGGTGAACGAACCCCACCCCCATTGTAGATCGCAGCCCGACACCGAGGATCACCTCTCGGCCACGATAAGGCGGTGAACTGTTGGGAGGATATGCCAAATGAAGCAATTGAATTTGGAGAAAAAACACTTCTATATAGGAGGTTTTTCTAACTAGCAACAGTAGGTGGTCATGTAGTAGCTGCTGTACCTTTGTCTTTGATAACACGCCAGACCAAAGATGAGAAATTTGTAGTAGTCTCTTCCATAGTGTGTGGCGCGATTCTTATTCCCAGGTCGGTGAAGTCGAATGATCCAGGTCGGGGAAGTGAGCAGGAGCGGGCAGCTGTTCATGAGCACACGTGTATGGGTGTCAGCCTCCAATTACTTGAAAGGCTAGTTAAAGAGTGCGCACCATTTACTTCTTTATAGTTTAATCCTACTTATTTTTGTCTATAGTTCATGTTTTACGGCTATTCCTTCACCGAATTAGGCAGATACGTTGCGTAAACGACTGGAGAACCATTTCAAATGGCCCCTATAGCAGAAGCATCTAAAAGCCACTCGAGATGTAATTCGCAAGCATTAGGTGAAAATTCTTCGGAAGTACAGCTACTTTGTAGAGTGTTTACAATGTGGAGAAGCTGATCACAAAGGCTTAAACTAAATAATAAATGTTTTTGGTTGTAAAGTTTAGAACATTAAAGAAACGCCATGAGCACACACACGCTTTGAAGCGATATCGATTTTCAACGATTTTCGCGCCAGGACCCTCCACCTGGGCGCCTGCCTACGGATGGGCGTCGTAATAGGGATTTCACTAGTCTTCTCCTAACATTTTTTTTATGTCACTATGGGAAATCCTTACCATCTTCTATCAATGATGTACCACGTTAAGTGATTTTCTTTCCTTGAAGCTGCATCTCTACAGAGTGCCGACCCAGACAGCCCAAACTCCCCATGCCTTCCGTGGAGGAAAATTTAGGCCAGATTTGTCTTGGAGGGTTCAAGCACTTGTTTATCTTATCTTTGTCGTTAGCCATTGCATAGGTTAGAAATGCATTCAGTCATCTCCACGATGCTTGATATTTTCGAATTCACGAAGAATCCCTCAGAGATGGATCACGCTACCGGCCAAAATGCGCTCTCGAATCGACTTTGCCTTTTCCTTCTGATTTTAGCACTATCGGTAGTTTTAAGCTTTCTGTATCCTTTGTATCACTCACCATCTGCTATGTATTCTCACATGCTTCTCAATATTTTCAGCTTTGTATTTGATGAACGAACCTCGCCAACCATCCAGCCACCGTTTTGCCAGCTTTTGGAAGTCGGTTGTGTGTCACATTCATTTCCAGCCATCTCATGGTTAAAATCTACCCACAGCGACTGCGAATGCTTGAAAAATCAATCAAATCGATCCATGGAACCTGAGTGAATGCGTGAGCTCTAGCGCCAGGATTTCGTTAGCCATCGTCAGCCACATCACTCACTGATCGCCCAAAGGCCTCAGTGCTACCCGGGAGTATTTTCTCCGCCATGTGGACATCTAAAACGTTTAGCGGTGAATGACGAGTCCTTGTATTCCTTTCCTCTTGTTCCTCGTGGCACGAAACATGCTATGCTCAAACAGTTCTTACATGTTTCTTGTTGTCCTACTAAAATACTACCCATTAGGCTAAGAATATCTGTAGCATTTTGACGTTCAAAATTTACTGGACACTAATCCGTCCATCCTAATTGTGCAATCTTCACGTCTCACTCAATATACCTGTCGAACCTCTCATTAACCATTTTCGGCTTTCTTAAGCACCCTGGCGACTACTCGCAAAGGATATCCTTTAAGAAATTGATAGCCGTGAGGTTTCGCCTCAACACTAATGTGTGTATTTGAAGTCTAATATGGAAATATTGACGTTATTTTTCAGATTATGTTCTGTTTATTCTGCGGATGCAGTATTACTCTCTTTTTGTCGCTTTCATTGAGGAATTTCCTGGGTGTTTGCAGTTGAGATTCTATTGAATATTTCAATGCACGGTGGACTTTCTTTTTCAGAAAATTGAGAAGTATTCATGGATAGTACAATTGAGAGCGAACAACAAGCATACCAGCAAGCCAATAGTGAAGAAAGGTGAGTGTGCAGTGGAGTTGTTAGCCTATCATAGGACGACTGTCGCTTTGCACGATTATGGTCGTACAACGCTTGAGATTTCTTTTTTGCTCTTTTAGAAGTCGTCTCTTTCCAAAACATCGTTCGTGTGGTCAAAGCAACATGAAGTTTCGGTGCTGTTAACATTATATGCTGTGTCCAAAGTGCTTGTATTCAGGGGAACATGGAGACGAAAATCAAAGATAAATCACTTCTGGTCTTGGTTCATGAATGTCGGTTCTAAAAAGTTCCTTCACGTATATGGACGCAGCTACGATGAGGATTGTGAGGCAGATCGTAAACTCGTTGTCGAACTTTGGAATGTAAGTAAGGATGCTTTCAATTGAATAACCTCTGTTTCAGTTCTGCACTGCCCTAGAAAACTGTCGTCTTTATTTTTGAAATTAAATCTGTTGACAAATCTTGTTAAATTGTAAGCTCTTTCCTTTATTCCAGCTTGATAAGGAATCATGGTCTACGGTGGAGCGGCATGGAGGACGTAGCGCACTTCCACGCAAGGGTGGTTGGAAGCAAATTTCTCCTGTGAGTTTGAAAACTCTTTTCTCCTCTTATTTTTTTCGGTATTGTTCAAAACGAGTGTATTATCATGGTGTGATAGTTTTTGATCAGTTTTTCTCTCAGTTTAATCTATTGATTTGCTTTTACTTCTTACTTGAATACTTGGATGACCCGTCTTCCCTGGTTGTGCTGGCCCCGGCATAATTTCCATTCTGCGGAGACTTGCTCGTTAAGCGATTGAGTTTCCGAGGAGACCCAAGGATAACCTGGCTAAAGCCTAGCTTATGTCGCCACCACCACAGGTAGTCGCAGCTCTTGTGGATGAAGGGGAAATTAGCCACCATGCGATCATTTTTATACAAGGATATAGTTCGAGCGCTTTTGTACTGTCTTATCTTCACAAGATGTTCCAGCACAGCAAACGTGTTCATTTGCATTGTTCTCTTTAGTTGTTGTGTTTTTTTCATTAAGAAAGTACAGTTATTGTTGAAATATTCTTTCAGGACTACGAGTTCGAATGTCTTGTACAGCGAAATCGCGCCACGAACTTTCGAACGAACGATCTCTCTCCTCCTCGTGGAGCCTGTACAACCTATTACCTGGTTGATGAAAATGCCAATGTAATTCTGGTTTTTTATGTTCTATTTTAATTCATCAGTAACGAGATAACGCGTGTTCAAAAAGAATTTCGACAAGTCATGGTTTTCTTTGGACCAATTATTATTCTCGTCTTTATTTTTGAGGTGGAATTCGTTGATGAAGTCTTCAAAGCTGGAAACTTATTCTTCTATTCCAGATTAATGGGCAGTCATGGGCTAAAGATCAGCATGAAAAACTTGCCGTTGCTTCCCACAAATGTCGTTCGGATAAAAATTTTGCAGTTACTTAAGAGGCATTAGCTCTACATGTTCTTTTCGATAATCTCCAAAAGTGGTGTGTAGTACCGTGTGTTAGTTCCAAATCGGTTTTCTCTTAGTTTAATCTATCGATTTAGCCTTAACAATCGTTAAATTAAAGGCTAGTTTGTCGTATAATAAGTCGTTTGTCCATTTTATTGGTTGGCTATTCACCGTGCTACTTAAAGCAACATGTACTGCCCCAAATAATTTTATGGATCAAACACTTTTGTCGTAGCTTATCTTCACAACATATTACAGCGCAACTAACTTTGGCATTTGTATTGTCCTTTTCAGTTATTGCACTTTTTTGATTAAAAATGTAAACTTATGGTTGAAATACTTTCTCAGGATATCGAGGGTAAATGGTTGAAACCACGAATAAGAGCCACTAACGCAGCATCAAGGACTCTTCCTTCTTCTTCACAACTCTGTGCGGCATGTAAACAGGTTGTTGAAAACGCCGAAATTATTCTAATTTTTTGTTGTTTGTCGTCTATTTCCACGTTTCAGCAACAAGGCAGTGGATCTTCAAAAAGGGTATTATCGAAGCGAAATTTCCTCGATCGATTGAGGTTTCACTACATAGCATTAGGTTAGTTCCATGCCAAAAGAGAGACATCTCTTTTTGGGAAATTCAGTAGGTAAATAAAGGATAAAGCTCTCCATGTTGATGAATCCCTGAGGATGTGCTATGCATTCAACTTCATTAAGCAACGTTGGAGGTGAGTGAATGCATATCTGGCCTCTACAATGACTCGAGGTAGCATACCGATGTATCGGTCCAGTGCTGCTATCCTCCTAGACAAGTCTGGTACCAATTTGCAGACCCCGGAGGGATGGAAGGCTTACTTGTCCTATTTTCCTTACTATAACTTTATTGGACTTATCTTTAGTGATATATTTCAGGTCATTTTCCTTGTTTGGAATTGCAATTCGTGCTAGTAAACCCGTTCATTGTTGCACCATCAGTGAATGACGTGGTTCTGGTTTATCCTGCCGAAATATCTNACTGAATAATCTTCTCTGAAAAAGTGGCAAATGTAGTAAGACGTGGAAATCAGTCGAACTAAGGGATATCAGGCGTTCCCAGTTTCGTCCTTCATTTCTATAAAAAAATTTTGCAGACCAGATTCTTTGTTATTCTAGTGAATATCGAATGGAATTAAAACGACCAATATGTGTTAATATCTGTTGAGTAGTCCTATTACAACCGAGTTCAGAGGAGAAGCTTTCATCGACCAGTAGTGGCGGCGTTTTTAATATCACTGCGGCACATGGGAGATATAGGAACTGGTTCTTCAATTCGATCTTTATTTCCTGATCTTTATTTTTCTCATCGCATGTTCTAGAACTTTTAAATTTAAACATGGCGAGGCGAAGGATCCGCATGGTGTAATGGTGAACTCAGCCACCGGAAAGGGTAGAAGTGCGTTCGTTCTCCACCGCAGACACCTGCGGTGCCGGAGTTTTGCAAATATCTCAGCAATGTTGCAATTGTATTTCGCTTAATACCCTGTCGTAAAAATTGCAGTAAGCAGAAAATAACAAGTAAAACCTTATGATTTAAACATGGTTATTTAGGACCGATTTCCTGCTGGTCGTCACTAATCAATTTTGATCCTAACCTTGTTGACGCCACTCGTTATTGTTTTCATCGAAGTAATGTTGAAGTGAACGGTACTGTTTTTTTTAATTGTTCATATCTTTCCTGTTATCATGCTTGTAATCAAGTCAGTCATGAGGACAGTGGTGAAGGTGGTATTCGTGCTTCTCGCCCAACAGAGCGGGACGGTACGCATCGCGGGGTCGAGGGTTACAAGAAGCGTTGCGTTTTTCAAATGTGGCCGTTTACTTCTGGCGTGGATTCACCAAAGCGCTAACATGGCGGGAATTCAAAATATTTATACTACACTATTCCTTTCATCGGAAATATAAAAAGATTTAGAAATGAAAAGCAAGTGAAAATTACGCTTGTGTTTCCAGGGAATAGTGAATTGACAGAGTAGGTGTATTGCTTAGCTGAGAAATTAAGGATAAAAAGTGAATATTTTTTGTTTTATATGTTATCTTGTATGCTCTGACTGGTAAAATTCGTTCGCATCTGTTTAGCCCTGCGTTTCGGCGTCCCTCTAAAGAGTGCTCATGGAAGATGTCCTTGTGAGGTGTGGAGAACGTTCTTGACAAAATACAATAATGAGGGTGTAGTTATTTGCGATGCTGGGCAAATAGAAATTCTGGTGAGTCATATTTTGTCGTTATTTAATGTATTCTGTGATATATGAGGTGTTGAAAACTTAAAATACGGGATAACTGTGCGATTAGAAAAAATTACTATGAAGGATAATAGTTGTTCTTTCTGTGCAGGACCGTGCACTGCATTTCCTGGCTAGCACAGTTGGGACGGACCAACTTCAAATACACGCCGGTAAACTATTTTAAAAGGATTCAAGACTGCCTTACTATATATATCTCCTTTTTTCCAGAAATTATGGATAAAATGGTCGTGGCACAAGACTTTATATCTGCTCTTGCCTGGTTGTACTATCGTGTAATAGAAAAGCCTCTACCTAACTATCTCACGGATGAGATTATCGATCGACAGTTTACTGATGTAAGACAGGTAAACGAGATATCGCTATGATTAACCTAATTTTCTATTGATAAACGTTGATTGAATAGAGCGCTTGTTTTGACGCCGCTGCAGCCAGCAGGAATATCAGATCGACAGCGTAGTAGTTTACTGAATCCAGATTGTTATAGGTTCGCGTATCATTGAGATTTTTTATGGAAACTGATGAATGTGGCTGTGGTAAGCAAAAGCAAACCTCATTTTGCATCTAAAAAACGATGGTTTCAGTTTTACATCGTTTCGCTTCAGTTTTTTTTCGACTTCTGTCATTGCAACGCAGTGCGCATAGTGCGAACCAGTGCGGTTTAATACAAAAATGCTATGTGAAACATCATTTTCGGTGTATTTCAGTTTAAGAGTATTGTACTCTTCATGGAAGAGTTATTGAAGGAAAGGAATAACGCTGTGAATTCCATTTTCATAGACGTTTTCTCTACTTTTTGAATCCTTAGTGATATGTCAACTAGCCAAAGTATGTTTGTATTTGAACGGTGCACTGAAAAGATTTTTTTTAACAAATTTATATACGCTGAATAGATCCTCAGGTTTGCAGCGGTAGCTGGTAATTTCCATTCTCTATTAAAATGCAACATTTAACCTCGAAATCTAACCATTTTGATTTCAGACGCTTATGTCTTTTCCAAAATGCTGTATGTATCACGAGAGGAAGTCCCCAAATCGTGAATCACGGCGCCACTGCACTGTCGCGAGGACTGCTGCCCTAGTGTTAGTTATCTTGGCTAGAATGTATTACAAACGTTATTGGGTTCTTCGTGAATTAATGTCGGATTTCAGCCTGCGTTTTTAAAGTGGCATATCTTGGCACAGTATGATGTTTATTAATGGACGTCAAAATCACTAGAATATATACATTCTTGTAAACGATAAACGAGTTTAATATAGCAGTTACCCAAAACCATGGACTGTCGGGACGATGATGCCCTTAAAGGCGGTGTTCGCCTCAGTTTGTTATTTTAAGTATTCGTCACACAGGGGCTTATCCAGATGCTAAAAGAACTGCTAGTTAATGGGCGAAGCAACGGGCGAATGTGGCGGTTGAGGGAGAATTTCTAAGCTCAGCTCATTAACCCTTTCCAGCATCATTAGTATGACATATGGACGGTATTTGTGGTACAGAAAGTTGGTCCTTTCCTGCTGACCATTAAGGAAAGGAACCGTTGAAGATGTTGGTGCTTTTCATCGATTTGCCGGGCGTACTTCTCTACCGTCTTGTTACACCCTTATTCAAGAAGCTGTATTGGACTAAAACCAGGCGTTGACTACCAGACGGTCAGCATAGGTTTCTCTTGGTTGCAATTCCGACTATCGGAACTACTGCAAAGCTTAGACGCGGTCCCGCCACTGAACCGATTATCGTCAGTTTTAATACAGAATCTCTTTCTTGTCGTGTGTCTTAACACAGTTGTGAAAGGGATCGGTGTGTTGGTGCAGAGGAAGTGCCAACGTTACCTCAAAACGGCGATCACTCAACCAATTCGTGCGACACCCATCTGTCGAGCTTCTTCGATTTTCCATCTTTTTAGACGCACTTAAGCAGTTGGGATACTCACACCGAATTCTTTGCAAGTTTCCGAAGATGTATGCTTTTAGTTGATTACAGTAAAGCCTTCGATTCATTGTCGACAGTACCAAAAGACCTCCGCGACCTTTTCGTATTCAAGGTCGAATGTCGCCACTACGAAATTTACCAAGCGAATGTCGCACCGTGCATTCGTTAAAAATGCTTTGATCTCGTACGTTGGCAATATTTTGAGAAATCCCTCTTCATATGATTGATCTTGAATTCGTGGAAGCAAATATGTCTGAATTTCTGCCTTGACATCTGAAACTCTAACTTTCAGAAATTTCCAGAAACATAGGTTATGTTTAAATGCAAGCATTCCTTATGGAACTGAATAAAATAAACTGTGCTGTTGTTTAAAATAATACAGTATTGGGAAGAAAAGAAGAAAAACTGCTGAGCACAAGATAAGGGATTTGCAAGAAAAGTGAAAGTACAGATCCGTTATCAATTTCCGAGCAATTTAATGAAGATGGTATCTGCTAGAGGCTCTAGGAAAAAACTTTCGTGAAGACGTTGTATTTGTATGTATTTCTTGCACAGTTTGCCTTTAAATTTTTTAAAGCAAACTTTGAAATGCCGATGCGTGAAGTTTTAGCACAGCAGCTTGTTTCCCTTGTTGTGTATTTGGCCGTAGAGCAATCATAAATGTTAAATTGCGCTTCACAGCTGAGCTTTGATAAGATTACTGGTTTCAGTGAGGCGGTTTGCAACCTGTGCTATGTTGGTGATTTGGTTAAATTTCGCGATCACTACGATGATAGCACACATTCGATGAGACGTATTTTTGTTGATTCCGCCACTCTTCAGTTTAGCCGCACTACATCTAGGTTTGCTTATGGATTCTGTGTAAATTGCTACGTAATTGGCAGATTTTTGAATAGATTTCATGGATTTGCAGGTTCACGGAAGATTGTCCTCATGACGGTGGAGCTTACGCTCGTCATGGAGCAATAGGTACGCTTATATCTGTCTTGTTCTTGTGAATATTGATGAAACATTGTTACTTTATTGATATCAATCAAATTAGAATTGCAGCATTTTCTGATTTAGCAATTGAGCTGGTTACATTCTGTTGCATTGGATTTTTGGAGCACAAATCACATTATTGCTTAGAATATTGAAAATATTAGAAAATTACAACTTTTTATTTACTGCCTACCGCAATTTCTCACGGTAGGGTATCATGTGAGATACAACCAAGATGATGCTGAGGTATTCGCAAAACTTGGGGCCGCAAGTGACTGCGGTGAGGAACAAACGCTCTGCTACCCTTTCTGGAAGTTAACGTGCTCAACATCACACCATTCGAGTACTTCGTTTCGCGTGTGTCAGTTTGTTTTCTGTCTGTAATTGACATCAGAAATCAACCGCCAACGGGATCGATCTGTGGAACACAAACCGGCATTGAACGCATTTAAGCTGAGGCTAAAGTTGAAATCACAATCTTAACTTTTTATTTATGCTTACCAAAACTTTCTCACGACAGTGGTCTGGAACGAAAAGGAAAAGGAAAGTTAAGATTGTGATTTCAACTTGAGCCTCAGCTTAACTGTGTTCAGCGCCGATTTGTGCGCCCAGATCTATCCTGATGACGGGCGATGGCAGCTGTAGACGGAAAACCAGTTGAGGCAGACGAAGCGAAAAACGTGCGTGGTGCGGTGGTGAACACGTTCGCCCCCTGAAGGAGTAGTAGCACGTTCGTTCTCCACTGGTGACACCTTAAGTGTGGTGTTTTGCAATATAATGAAATAAAAAAATATCTCAGCATCACCTTGTTTAAAAACACCGTTTTAATTAGAAATCAGTCAGAGTGGTTGTTGTTCCCAGTGATTTTAACTCTAATTTTGTTCTACTCAGTGATTCTGCGGTGTCATATTTATATCCCAAGTTTTTTATCCAAGCTCTGAATTTTTGTACAATACGGCTTCTCCACGTGAAAAGTTATAACAGTTGGAAAATTGTGCCTCCCTTACTCGTCACAGTCGTTTTAATATCCAGAGCATTTGATTAATATTTAGGAGGGAAGCGTTGTTTTGTACACCATAAGATGGACTCGCCTAGGAAAGACGGTTTCTTGCCCCAAATAACGAATTTCGTCCTTATATTTATTTAAATAAATTTCAACATTTTAGTGGAAGTGAACCTGAGCGATGCCATGTCGCGTTTGATGAAAATTGGTTCCTTCTGCTGTCCCGTCTGAGTATGGATTACGAACTACAACGAGTTGAGCGACAACTGTTAAGGACCTCAATCATCTGGTTTTGTGCTTTTTATCTTTTATCTAGCTCTGTAACAATATGGTTTGGTTTTGTGCTTTTTATCTTTTATCTAGCTCTGTAACAGTACAAGTTAAGCAATGTTTGATGTACGAATATCTGGTTATGACAGGAAAAGTAGATTTGCAAAACGGACCATAGTAACAGCGCTTTATTGTTTAACCCATAACCCCTGTTTGGGCACTATCGGTCCATTTTCAGTTTCGTGCTCTATACACTTTTCTTTTTCTTCACCGCACTCAGGATATTCATTCGATAGCAAAACAGATCACAGTAATGGGAGTGAGTGCAGAAGAAACGCTTCTCACATTCAATGATTTATAGGAAATATTCTTTCGAAGAAGTTCATTGAGCAATAGTTTGGCCAACAATAAGGCGTTATTTGCTTTTACCATTAAGATTACTGTATGGAACGTGCGGATAAAAAAAACATCGAAGTGGATGCAATATGGCGTGCAAAATACTTCCAAGTGTTGACGACGAAGGATTTGGATAACGGACCATAGCAACACATAGTATATAGTAGCACAAATACCGTTTATACCCATAAAACGATAAAGCAAAGTTTCTTCTAGATGTATAAAACTCTTAAAGCGCGAAAAGTTGTTATGATCCTGTTGGGAGCGCTACAAGGAACCTAAGGAAAGCTAAACTGATATACTTATAACACCGACCGCTCGTCTCATAGAATTTCTAACGGAAAGCAATTGTGATGACTTCTGTGCGTTCAAAGCGCTCTCCCAGATTTATGGTAATAACTGAATTTGAACAGCAATGTGAAATCAAAGTCAGACGCAGTCTAGATCTGTCGCTAATTCCGTTTCATCGCCTGTTTCGTTCTTGCATGTGCAAAACATAAGTGATGTTCAAAAATCACCATAAACGTATTGTATATTCGACTTCGATGACGCTCATGCTGGAGGATATGGATGATTGCACGCGAGCTGAGCACCGGTCCACGAGAAGTACCGCTTGATGTGCGACGAACTATAAAGATATCTAGTTACTTGGATACCTGCACGGCCCGTTCTCACTGGTTGTGCGGGCGCCAGCATAATCTCCATTTTCCAAAGTTTTGCTAGTTTAGCAATTGCGGTTCTCTAGCGTCCCGAGATAAGCCGGGCGAAAGTCTGCCCCAGTTCGTCACCATCACAGGTAGTCACTGCATTTGTGGATGAGAGGAAGATTTGCCACCATGCGACTAGTTTGATACCACGGTGGTAGATCCTGGTATTGGTTTACTCTTAGACAAGATTCCTAATGAAAATGATGAACTCGTCAACCAGGGATACTCTGCTGGTGGTACGAATCTCCCCGCTGTACATCGCAATCCGAGACCGAGGAACAGCACCTAACCACGATGAGACGGTAAACCGTTGGGATGACTATAAGAATAATCTATTTCTTTTTCACCAGACGGCATGCAACACTTAGTTCTCCCATTCCATTCATCTCATCTTCAGCAAGCCTTCGATCGTTCAAATTAGTTAAAATCGTACTGTGCTCAGACAGCTTCGATGATTTGTTGATTCCCATCATATAAACAAAGATTACAGTTGTGCAAGAACGACCACGATTGCATGCGAATTCCTAATCATTGGGTAAAGAAGTACACTAGTTTTGCAAGTGCATGTGTGTGATCACAGAAGACTTCCATATCTTCACAACTCTTCGTTAAGCATCCATAGATATTTTGCTGGTGTTGAGCTCACCTCTACAAGCAGAATAAGATATAACAACCTCAACTCTTTAAGTTTAACTACACATCGATAATCCGGGTTACCGACTTTATTGATTTTTCGTCTTGTTTTAAAATCCACCTTGGAGATGGACCATTGCTGCTGGGCATATGAGCGAAACAGATAATAGAATAAGAGCGCCTTGTTGTTACTTGACTTCGGGCATTTGTCGTTTTTCGGCTTTCGATTTCATTCAACCGCAGCTGTTGTTCCAATCCTGTGTGTTTCTTGAGCAAATTTCGCACCATCGTTGATAGCAACATGTCATCCATAAGTTGTTCGTTTCGAGGGATACCATCGCATCTCCGCCACAATCATTTCGAAACCAATTTCTTTCGTTGCTGAATCTTCAATTAAATTCGGATTTAAAATTCTTGTTGGTTACCGCTGCTTGACAACCGTCCAGCTGAAGCAGTCTGCGACCAACTATTCGTGACACGAGCACCTAGCCGTTCCTCGATGGTCGTAGTGTGCACTGAACTCAATGCCTGTAATCCATTACGCCTCCATGCTCTGCTTGCCACTCTTGTGCTCGTACGTTTTATTCTATTTCACATTTCCGGCGTAGCGGTTACACGTCTTTTAGAAATTTCTAACTGTTGGGTACGAAGAATTAATTTTCTGGCAGCGTCCGACCATGGTGAGCCTTGGTAGCCGGTCTCACAACATTTGTTTCGCAGACCCTGACACTTTACATAATATAAATTTGAACTTATAGCTGAGTTCAGTGGAGTTAAGCATCTGTAATGTTTTCAAAGATATAATGTGTGACTAGGCATTGATAAAGGCCTACACTGTTCACGAAAAAGCTGGTATTATCTTAGCATCGGCCTCAGTAGTAAAAGATTGTTCAGCACAAAACATAAAAATAGCTCTAAAATCCATTAGAGCCTAAATTGTTCAAAAGGCAACAAATCGGAACGCTGCGTATCAGAATCCTCCGCGCTTAGATCTCAATGGATCGAAACGCACCAGCTATTCCTCGAAATGCCCCGAAAATCGAAGTTTTGTAAATTTCATACTCGACAGTTTTGGGGACTATGAAAACAGGTCTAGCATCCACTAAGCCCTATATAATTTAAAAGACAGTAAATCGTACCTCTGCGTGTTAGAATCCTCAGCGTTTAGATCTTAGTTGATCGAAACACCCCAGCACTACCTCAAAACTCTCCGAAAATCCGATTTATTACCTTTCCAACAACTTCGGCCTTTATCGATTATGGAACTTTTTTAGAGTCTCTAGAATTGTCGAGAATTGAATTTGCACTACTCCGGTTTCCGGGGTATTTGAGGAATTGCTGGTGTGTTTTAATCGATTAAGGTGTAAACATTGAGGATTCTGATACGCAGAGATCCGATTTATTGTCTTTTCAACATTTATATCGATGTAGACTGCCGAAACTCATGGTGGCTCCATTTATAAAGCTCTCTACCTGTACATATAGAAAACTGCCTCAATTTCAGCCACTGTAATACAGAGATATTTGCAAGGCTCCGGACCGCAGGTGTCTGCGGTAGGAAGCGGTAAAAATATGAAATTAAAAATAGTAAAAAATAGATGAAATAAAAAATATTTCAGCATCATTAAAGCTATATTTCCCAATATATACCCTGCCGTTAGAAAGAGTCGGCAGTAAATAATAAGTTAAAATAGCAAAGTTTATAGTTAATAATGTTCTAGCACGTCAGGAAGTTAGTGGAGATCTATTACAACTGTCTCTAATCAACGTATCTTCAAAAGTCATTCGGAATATAGCATATTCTCTGTTCATCAGGGTTTTGCCACGTTGATTCCTTTAGTCGATTAATGGTGTTCTTATCTATGGTCAGACAAGCCCGTGTCAGGGCGTCTCCAGGTCGTCGTCGAAGGGGCTCGCAAAACATTAAGCACAGGAAGGATATTTGCTATTTTGCGGGCAGTTTAATGTTGTAATGACAGAGCAGTGATTCCATTTATTTAATCTTAAGAATCAGATGCTGGTAGAATATAGTACACATTTTACTGGACGAATTTACGAGCAGCGGCACAGTATTATTAGTTGTCTTTTAAATAGAAACCTCGCATTCTGACAGCTGTGAAGAGCTGAGCCAGTCCCTTGACGGCGAATGGCGTGAGATTCTTCAGGTGTTCTGGTCTTATCCTATCCTGTCAAAGTGCTATTTTATTCTTCACTGACGAAGTAGCATGTTGGAATGGTCTTGGTTGTCATAATAAACGGAGACCCGTTCACCTTGCTCGCTACATTCTAATGGGTGAGTCCTAATTTGACGTTTTTCGAAAGTTCTACATCCATTCATGGCGTCGAAATTACCAGCGATGATCGTAAGGAATGTCTAGTCTTATCCACAGAGCTTCTCCATGACCATGCAAAAGGTGTCGACTTTCTCTTCGTCATAGCTTCATATCGGTGCGTTGACGACGAATATTGTTAAAGCTTTTACTGATCCATTTCTATCTAACGGTAAACTTCCCTTTCGGATTTTTAGTTGTTCGTTTCAGTCGATATTTATGGCTAAATGCGTTTTGACGAGAACGCCGACGTTAGTGACTCTCATATTGTCACATGTACTGAGGAAAACTTCTCCGTTGTCATAGAGAGCGTTGAATGGATGGTGTCTTCTCGTCTCAGCCAGTGCAAATACGTCGTAGCTCTTCCTTCTTGCCTGCGTGTGAACGTGCTTTATAAGTAGAGATCGTCACTTTAGTCCTATAAGATTTAGGCAGCCTAGAATCGCCCTGAGGTTTCAGCAACCTCTTCATGCTCATAATTCCCAACGCTGTTGAAACGGGAGCTCCTTCGTGGTTAAGGGAATGGGGCCTTCTTATTTACTGTGTTTAGCTTTTCGATATCTACGTATAGCTTGTTGAGCTCTGAACGTGGGGGCTGGATATACTCACGGGTAGCTTGCTCCTCCCAAAACAGGTGGATGGATTATTTGTTGGAGGCGACTCCTAACCGCTCCTACATAATTCGCTGTCACTTGGTTGCCGGCTTTTATCCGAATCGACTTGAAGAATACAATCCGTATAAACGAGAACACATCCACGCACGTATGCACGAATATGTTCGCTGAATAATGTAAATAGGGAAGATATATGCCAAATCGGTGTAACCGAAAAGGAGCGTCCACCAGATTAATCGAACTTCGCCTCAGAGAAGGGGAGGGAAGAAGGGAAGGAAGAG